CAGAACCCCCCGCCCCCCCCCCCCCCTTCACTAGTATATTGAGTGCTGATCCTCTGAGTCTGGCCTGGCCTTCCTCCCCAGCGCCATCTCTCACTGCCTCCCCAGACACCGCCTGTTCTTCAGCCACCTCGTTCCCAGCGCACAGCTCTGCTGCCCTCCCGGAGCGGTCACTCACGCTGCCCCGTGTTCCCCATGTCCTAACTCCCAGCCTCACCGTGCAAAAGGCCACCCGTCCCACGAGGTCTAGCTCCGATGCCGCCCCTTCATGAAGCCTCCGACCAGAATGGCCTCTTCCTCCTCGGCCTCCTCAGCCTCCCTGCAGCGCTCTCACGGCTCTCGCTGCATCCGCGCAGGCCCACGGCTGTTCACACCCTGAAGCAGCACGTATACCCACCGAGCGAGCCGCCCAGATAAGGGTGCCAGCCGGGGGCAGGGCCCCCGCTGTGTCCGGGCCCTCCCTCCAGAGGCTGGGGAGCGAGCCCGTGGCCTTGGCTGACGCGGAGGGAGAAGGCCCCGGGCTGAAGGAGTGCAGAACTATTTTATAACCCGGGCTCTTTATCATCCAGAAACAACGCAGGCAACAGTTTTGCTACTCTCCGCTCTCTGAGCCGCATCGTCCAGGCTCCCAGCCCCGGAAGCTGTGCTTTGCCTGCATTTGGGGCGCAGTCCTCGTATCCGCATCCACTCATGGCCGCTTAGGGGCTTTCCTGGGGCAACTAGCCCTGGCCACCTCATCAGGTACACACTGGTTTTACACAGTTTGTCAACACAGCTGTCATTTCATGAAATTGTCAACTCCCTGCGAAGAACCTTGTTTTCGTCACCTCTATCCCTCAGAGCACATGGAAGGGTTGTCGTTGTCATTACAGACAGTCTGTGTTCAGTGAACGTTAAGAAATACTTGTTGACTAGATTTCTCTGGGCCCTGAAAAGGGAGCGCTGTTACACATGTTGCTTTCAGTGGCATGAACTCTGAGAGCTCCTTTTCATAAAACCAGCTTAACTGTATCTCTATTATGTCTATGGTTTAACTCCAGGTCAGGACAGACACACAAAGATTTAGCCATCGACCTCATCAGACTGATCCAAAACCAACATAGTGGTTTTGCAACATCTTTGAAGAAATTAGAAGACTCCCAGCAACACGAGAGAGTCACCAAATAACTGGAAATGCGAGGAGAAGCGGGGACAGGGCGAAGGGCTTTCTCCCGCCCAGGCTTTGGAAAGAACACCCTCCCTAGGGACTTGGTCTTAATGGAGGTGGCCTGGCGTGCCACGGGTCCTCCAGGAGGCAAGGGTTCGTGGTTGGGCTCATGGATGTTCACACCTGAGGTTCTGTGGGTAAGAATGAAGGGGAGACCATGGACATAAGGCAGGCAACGGGCTGCGTCCACCTTCTGGACTGAGAAAATTCTCCCAAATAAGAATCACATGTCTGTTACCAACCTGACATCACGGGATGCCTCTTACCTCCTAAGAAGGTGAATCCTCGTCCCGTCCCCGCCTACAAAACACAACTGACGCAGTCGAACGTTCCATCTAACAGACATTACCATCGTGGTATCTTCAGATGTTGCAAGAATAAATTTCACATTAACCTGAATCTGTGGACACAGGTGAGGTGAGCTCTGACCTCTCATGGGATGTGCATATCAAGGACTTTGGTTCAAGAACAAGAAACATAAATAAGCCTGGCTGGCATGGCCCAGTGGCTGAGCGTCGACCTATGAACCAGAAGGTCACAGTTCGATTCCTGGTCAGGGCTCATGCCTAGGTTGCTGGCTTGGTCCCAGCGTGGGGCGTGCAGGAGGCAGCCAATCAGTGATTCTCTCTCATCATTGATGTTTCTATCTCTCCCTCTCTGAATTCAATAAAAATATATTAAAAATAAACACAAGATGTGGTATTGGAACCTCTCTTGATGCAGCAACATGGAAGGGTCTCTGAGAGACTGCGGTCGTGGCTTTGTGGGGTTCTTCGCGTGGCAGTGAGAGTAACTGTCCTCCGGGTCCTCAGTCTAAGACTCACCGCCCACCAGCTGACAACGCGGCCCCTCCCTCTGCCACATGGAGCTCCTAGAAGGTCTCCAAGTTCACTGTGCCCGAGCTGCCGGGCAGGCATAGGGTGGGCACGGCCTACCTCTCAATCTCATCTGCACCTCTTCCGTCTGCTACACCGCCGGCTCCGCTGTCGGCTTCGCCAGCCCCAATACCAAGCTCATTTTCCCCAGGACTTCCTGCAGCTGCTCCGTTCGCCTGATACGAGGTCTCCTGAGCTTCCCCCACTGCCACTCAGATCTCAGCTTAAATGACGCCTCCCCCGCCCCCCACCAAGCCTGTGATCTCCCGAAGCGCCTTGCCCCGGCCTCTCTCTGGCTCAGTCACTGTCGTCTCTGGTCTCCGCGGGAATGGCGAGGGGGAGGCTTTGTTTTATTGGCTGCTTATCTTCAGAGCTGGAACACGGCGGATGCTCCGTCAGTTTACTGAGTGAATAAGCGGGTAATTCAGTGTCACTCCTCTCCTGCCCCTCCTCCACAGCCCCTCCTGTGGTCCCAGGTCCTGGCCCCTCTGCTTTACATCTCTCCTCTGTTCCTGCAGCTCCTTCCCCAGAGCAGCAGCGATTGTGTGCGTTGTCATTCTGACTGAGACCCCAAGTGGGCAAAGTCCAGGGTTGTCATCTCGGAACCAGACACCAGGGCTTTACTGAGCGCGTGCAGCAGCCTCGTGCACCTTGGAGGGAGGCCAGGGCACCCACTGGGTGAGCTGTCCCAGGCCGCCCTCCCCCTCCCTACGGCAGGGAACAGCCTATGCACCCGACCTTAGCGGCCCTGCTGGACAACAACTGTTTCATTCAGCCAGGAGGGAATGTCCTCTGTACCTGAGCCATGTTCTTAAACGCAAAGAAACTGCTTATGGGGAAGAATGAGGCTTCACTACTGGAGTCTGTCATGGCATTCTCCCAGGTTATTTTGTTTGTTTTTTAACCGCTGGCTCGAGGTGTGCTATACCAGAAGCCTTACACGTTTAATGTGTACACATTGAGTTTGGAGGTAAGTACACACCCGTAACACCATCAGCACCACCAGTGCCATGGACATACCCATCACCTGCAAGCTTCCTCCCGCCGTGTGTGTGTGTGTGTGTGTGTGTGTGTGTGTGTGTGTGTCTGTGCTAAGAACACTTAATTCTCGGCTCTTTCCACACGTCTCAGGTACTTCTTACGACACCCGTGAAGGAAAGATGAGCCTGACCACTCGGGGCTGAAGAAATGGGCTCCGAGTGGGTGTGCAGCTTCCCTGAGCTCGGACTGTTGGCCAACAGTGATTCGAGGTTAGAGCCAGGCCCGTCGCCTCCAGGGTCCCGGCTGGCCTTGGCTCTGGGAACACGACTGCTTGTCCTGGAGCCGTGGTTATGTTTTCAGTGACCCCTGACCCCTGGTGCTGGTGCCTGGTGATGGCCTGGCCGACTCAGACTCCCCTGTTGCCTCTGAGGCTGCAGACAGACGAGCTCGTGCCTCTGTCAGGGGCCCCCAGCTGGCTACTCTTCGTCCTGCAGAGGCCATGGCACTGGAATGGCAGTTCTCCTAAATGGGCTGCCAGGCGTGAGCTATCGTGCCCTGGCGATGCCCCACACACGGGGAATAAAGCATCCCCACCCCCAGGATAAAAGGGTTCATTTGATTCTAAGCATATAGGTCACGACTGTTGTTTCTTTGAAGGCTATTGATTGGTTGGCTTGATTCCCACAGCCTAGTCTTTTTTGTGCAAAGGCGGGATCTCAAATTGTTTCCATTTACGCATCATTGAAGCGACTTCACCTTTGTTTCTATTCTGGTTCTTCGGATGCACACCCTTGCACACAAGGCTTCATCAATGTGAGCTGTCATCACCATCATTACCATCATCATCATCCCATTGACTCACTGGTTTGGATTTTCCTTTACTGGACTTTGAGTTCTTTGTGTGAAGTTCGTCTTCCCAGCTCAGCACCTGCCACTGGCCTGAAACCTAGTGGATGTCCCGTGATGCCCGTGGACCGGATGCCCACGTGACTGCCTGCTTGAACCCTTGACGGGCTCCTGACTGCCCGAATAAACCCACACGCTGTAGCCTGGCTTCCCGGGCCTCCGGAATCTGGCTTTGACCCATCCGTTGGCTTCATCTGCCCCTAAGCAGGCCCAGCAAGATGAGGCGCAGCTCCCCAAATGACCCTTCCCCCCACAGGAGTGTCGTCGGGCCTCTCCTCCACCCCGGTCACTTCTGATGCAGGTGCCCCTTCCTGGACCGTCTCCTGACCCCTTACAGGTGGCCCCCCAGGCTAGGAACAGGCACGCTCCCCACAGTGGTCTGTGGACGTGATAGCACAGTACAGGATGGGGATGCGGCTACACTTTCAGGCTTCAGGGCCAGAGCAGGTCCCCGCCCCCATCGGCACCACACGGAACCCTCTCCCTGGGCCTCAGGGCACTGACTCCAGGACGCAGCCCTCAGATGCTCCTCCTCGTTCAGTTCAGATGCCGATGACTCCCTCAGCACGTCCCTGCGGTGAGGAATCTCAGCAAGTATGTAGGGTCGCCTGCGCCCCCTCAAATGCCTGCTGTGACCGTCACTCCGGACAGATCATTCATCCGCTGCCCTGGGCGCTGGGGCAAGCGCTGTCCTGGGTGGAACACGCTCGCATGTGCCCGGGACCGCCCTGCGTTCCTGCCCTCGCTGTCACTCATGAGTAAGCGGTGTCCCCGTGAGCACACACTCCATCTCCTTTTACAAAGCGAACGCCTACGGAGACATGCTCCACGCTACCAGCCGCCAGATGACACCTTCAGAGAGAAGCGTTGGGAAAGGGTCAGGTCTGCATGTCCTGGTGATGAGGCCACTGCAGCTTTAGAGAGAGCGGTCTCCGCACTGACCAGTGAGGTACATGCTCTGTGACGTCATCTCTGATTTACACGGCTGACGGCGTCATGCCTGTGGCGGCCAGCAGATCATGTGCATTTTCAACTCGAGGACCCCCTCGGCCCGCAGCCGATTCCACCTGCTCGGCGTGAAGACCCCAGGGTCTCCTCTCAGCAGGCCCTCCGCTGAAATAGTTCTCAAAGGCGACATCTGGCCCGAAAAGTCAACCAGGGGCCGGGGTGGGCAGAGCGTGGGGCGTGGAACAGCCCAGGCCCCATCCTGGCTTTGATTCCCAGAATAAACGCGTATGAACAGGAGGATGTAAGAACCGCAGGGCCCGCGCCGCGGGCTTAGGTAACGGCAGGAGGAGCCCGCCCGGGACTGGCTCCGAGGCCGCCGGTGACGCCGCCTCTAGCGCTGGCTCTGCCCCCATCACAGCTGCCTGCTCAGTAAACATTTCCCGAGCACCCAGGCCGCGAGGCCCGATGTGGACAAATATTTACCAACAAGGACGCCCAGGGCAGGGCCAGGGGTGACGCGATCCTTCCCAAGCACCTGAGGGCCCGTGACCGGAGTTTCCTGGGAAAGGGGATTTAGAGAGGCCTCCACGCTCGGCAGGACACGGCCGCCCTGCCTGTCTGTTCCAATACCTCCTTCGTGACTGTCACCTCCTGTCCCGCCGGGCAGTCAGGGGAGGCAGCCTCTGACCTTGGTCACCTGCCCACCCAGCCCAGAAACACAGGTGACGATGGGGACAGGCTTCCCCCAGACCCCCCACTGCCCAACACGCCCTCGCATGACTACAAGGTGGGGGGAGGCCCACGCAGACGTGAGGATGAGTGTGGGCGGGCACGGCCAGGGTGGAGGCTCCCACCTCACGGCACCCTGGCAGCTGGTGACCGTGCCTGAAGCTCCATCACTGAGCCACGCGGCCGGGCTGTATTGATCTCTAGGACAGCTTTCCCCTAAGTTACCATCTTACAAGACACGCAGGACAGCAGCTGGGATGCGACCGAGCTGCCTTTTGTGGCGCGGGGGCCACGGTGGCTCAGGGGCAGCGCTGCCTTGTCCCCACGGAAGAGGGAGATGGGGCAGCCCTGTCTGTGAGACGCAGAACAACAGGCTGACACTAGAGAGACGCTGCCGAAGCAGCGGGGACACTGTGGGGGGAGGCGGAGGAGGTGAAATTGGATTTTTCACACTTGGAGCCGCAGCTGCTCAGAAGGCATCGATCAGGAGGCAGAGCAGCGAGGACAACGCAGACGCCCCTTCGGGGGGAGCGCGGCCCAGGGCAGCTCTGCGGCCGCAGGAACGGCGTGGCCGATCCCAGGAGCCGGACCTCCTGAGTGACCAGTGTCCAGAGGCGTGGAGCCCGGAGGAGCAGGCCAGCGGGCCAAGTGCCCGGCTCATCGGTGCCCAGCGGAACGGGAAGCGGTCAGTGTCGGATGCGGGATGTGCGCGTGGCCACAGCCACACCTGCTGATGCCGGGGCTCCGTCAGCACAGGACGCCCAGACACCCATCGCCACGGCATGGCCAGGATGAGACGGGCCGGGGGTTGAGGCAGAAGGGCCTCAGTGGGTATAAAAGCAAAGCAAGCCCTGGCCAGTGTGGCTCAGCGGATAGAGTGTGGGCCTGCGGACCGAAAGGTCCTGGGTTCGATTCTGGTCAAGGGCACGTACCTCGGTTGCAGGCGCCTCCCTGGCTCGGGGCCTGGTCGGGGCGCGTGCATGAGGCAACCCATCGATGTGCTTCTCTCACATCATGTGTCCCTCTGTCTTTCCCCTCCCCTCCCCTCCACTCTCTCTAAAATCAACGGGAAAGTATCCTCGGGGGAGGATTGAAAAACAAACAGAAAAGAGCAGAGCAAGAGGACCAGTAGTCGACGAGAAGGTTCACCGGTCACACACCTGAGCAGCTCTGATGGGCCTCGGAGGCCCAGGGACTCGGAACTTCCGTGAAGAAGAGGGGTGGGTCGAAGGGGCTGGGCGGGTGGGTCCCGGTGTGTGTGTCTAAGGGTGGAGAGGGTGCGGGTCCTCTTTGAGGTAAAGAAGGCCGATGGGAGACAAGATCGCGAGGCCCCTCCCCAGGCGTTGCATGGGCCCGTGCACGGAGGGGCCGAAGGGGAAACTTCGCAGCGAACGACTGCCTTGGCCCCGTGTGCTTGTCATCTCCCTGCTGGGGTCACTGCCAGTGTTTGCTGCAGCTCAGTGAGCGGCTCCTAACCTCTGGGCAGCGGACACAGGTCAAGGGCGGACGCTCACATCAAAAGCCTTGAGTCGCCCTACCTGGTTTGGCTCAGTGGATAGAGCATCGGCCTGCAGACCGACAGGTCCTGGGTTCGATTCCAGTCAAGGGCACATGCCTGGGTTGCAGGCTTGACCCCCAGCAGGGGGTGTGCAGGAGGCAGCCGATCCATGATTCTCTCTCATCATCGATGTTTCCATCTCTCTCTCTCCCTCTCCCTTCCTCTCTGAAATCAATAAAAATATATATTTAAAAAAAAAAGCCTTGAGTCAGAGTCTCTGTCCTTCAGTCATTCATCAACGTCTCTCTCGTTTTCTCACTTACAAGCGGCGATGGCACCTACCTCGTGGCTGCTTCTGAGAAAGTCCCAGGAAGTTTTTCGCACAAGTTGGCGCCTAGCGATCGATCGCCAGTGAAGGTTACTGATGAGTAAGAGCAGATGAAGTAGCTGGCGCCAGCCCAGAGCCGGCCCAGTTCAGGCTGTGGGCCCAAGTTTAAAAAAGAAAGGAAAGACCATTAATCCTGGGGTGACTGTACATCCCTTGTGCCACATACAATGAGCCAGGGGCCAGGAGGACAGGTGCCTGAGCAGCGCAGCCCTGCTGGCTGGGCCCGGGTTGGCCTTAGTCACTAAGAGGAAGTGCTGAGTCACCCTGCCCCTGGCCCCGCCGCGGGTGGGGACTGAAGTCCTCGCGGGCAGGCCTCCAGCAGAGCAGGCCCAGCGGGTCCATCCCGTCCATCCCGGCTCCTGACCCACCAGCAGCCGACCTCTCTGCCGCCGATTCACGCCCTCATCCCTCGCCACGGACCCGCCTGGCCGTTTCCCCTCTGGGCACCAGCCCCGGCCCGGGCTCCTGAGCTGCACTCTTCCCCACCCTGGGCGCCCCCTGCCAACCAGGCCCTGAGCAGGCTCAGGTGCTCCTGTCCCCCTGGCACAGCGCCCGGTTCCTCCTCTCAGCTGAGTGACGCCAGGAGGGAGTCAGGGGAGAGGGCAGGACATGGGTGCAGCGGAGCAAACACTTGGGTGCGTTTCTTTTTTAAACATGTTTTTATTGATTCCAGAAAGGGAGGGAGAGGGAGAGAGGAACATCAACTGTGAGAGAGAGTCATTGATCGGCTGCCTCCTGCAGGCCCCACACAGGGGATCAGGCCCACAACCTGGGCATGTGCCCATGACCAGAATCGAACCCTGACCTCCTGGTTCATAGGTCGACGCTCAACCACGGAGCTACACCGGCCGGGCACGTTTCCAGATCAACAGAGCTCCAGCACTCGGACCCGTGGTCCCAGGGCCTCCATCTACTCGCTGTTACGGTCCTCCCCATGGGAACGGTCCGCCGGGGACCTGCCGGCCTGCTCTGCGCTGGGGGACAGAGGCTCACCCAGCTTCCCCCAGGGCTCTGCGTGGGGCCTAGGGACAGGGCTGTGTGTGTGTGACCTAGGGACAGGGCTGTGTGTGTGTGTGACCTAGGGACAGGGCTGTGTGTGTGACCTAGGGACAGGGTTGTGTGACTTAGGGAGTGGGTGGCACTCTGTGGGCGAAGCCTCAGGGACACCTGTCACCATCTTGGCTTCCTGGGCGCCTGTCTTGGCAACAAGGCCGGAGGTGGGGTGCACACACCGCTGCAGCCCCACGGGCTCTGTAACCCGCTTCCTGTGTCCTGGTTGTGAAATGCCCGCGGTCAGAAAAGCCTTCCCGGGCCCCCTTCCTCTGCCACCCTGACCGCAGCCCCGGCAGCGACAGCAGGTGGCCTGGCCGCAGCCACCCCTCTCCACTTCCTTCCCTCTGGGCTCCAATCTCGATTGCTCCCTTCACCGCCAGCATTGCAAGCCCCCCTTGCCCTGGCGGGCGTCCTCCACGCTGATGGGGCTGCGGGGCGAGAGCTGCCCGCCTTGGTGCCCCTCGCACACACAACCCTCCCGCAGGGCCGCGGAGGAGGGGCCTCCCCCGAGAGCGGGCCTGTGATAGAGACGCTCTGCTCCCGGGGTCCCGCCCCCACCTCCACCGGCTTTTCTTAGCGGACACTTTAAGGGACTTGCCACCTGCTCGCCAGGTGCTGAGGCCTGATGTCAGCGTTCGTGATAAGAGCAAGTCCGTACTTTTCCTTCTTCCCATATTCGCTTGCGGGTTTTTTTCAGGCCGCGTCTGTGTTCACATTCATTCTCCTGGTGGTGAATGGAACGAATGGACACAATTTCCTCTATTTAGTGCGACTTCTGTTGTGAGTTGTTTTGGAGAGACAGGCGAAGCCCTGGAAGGAGAAGGGACCATTGTTTCCTGATAATAAAAGTACTGAGCCATCGTTTTACAAGACAGGAACAGCCCAGGAACGTCTAGTCACCGAGATAAAAAGCCCAGTGACCTTGCCACCCACGGCATGGGCATGACCCCCAGCCATGTTTT